CCCTTTGTACGAACAAAAGTAAGAGAACTTTAGGAGAAGAATACGAACATGTTCTTGCATGAGGCCCAATGTTTTATTATTTTTTACTACAAATGCTACGCAGATGTTTTGTTTAGGAAATGCCTTTTTCCTTTGTGGACAATAACGATTGTTTCAAAAACTTCATAATCTTATCATTGTTTCTTTTTCCCCTGTTGTGTGTACTGACCGCTCTGTAGTGTTTGTTCTTTTGATTTCTGACGTCTGATTTGACAACACTGTTTGATTTTGAGCAAAGTTTCAACTATTTTGAGGCTGTAGTTTGGTTTTTGCAGGAAGAGTCAGAGGTTCTGTGAAAATAGTTTGAAAGTTGTGTTTTGTGTTTACAGTTTAGAGAAATGGATGGATGGTTTCAAGAAATTTGTTTTAGCAACTGAGAAAAACTGTATTTCGGCTCCGTATTAGTCTCTACCTCTGCAGAGACTATTCTCCCTGGGGCCCAATTTGAAGGAAGAAGGAGATTAGAACAGGATCTTTATGATACATCGGTGAAGAAAATAAGGACTTTCAGAGAGCAAATAATTCATGGGAGGAAATAACTCAGACCCTGGTAAAGTCAGTTTGTTCCTTTCGATGTTTGAAAACTAAAAATCAAACTATCTCTTCCTCCTCATCCTTGACACCATCACTGAAATTTCAGAAACTAAATCATTTGTCAGTCGATCAGTTTTAGAGAATAAGTAAAAGCAGCTTCTCATCAGAATAAACCACTTCAGATTTTCACCACAGACATTCCTGTGCAGGCGTCAGAGTGCCTGGGTGAGTGTGTGCATGTGTGCGTTGTGTTTGTGTGTGGGCACAGCTGGAAGGTGCAGTCCTACCTCGGTGCAGGAGAAAGGGTTTGCTGTAATCCCAGCTGCTGGTGTCATTGCGGACGACGTTCAGTCTGTTGGGCTGCAGGGGGCGACAGAGCACAGCACCTCTGGGTGGGTGTGTGTGCGTGGGCATGAGAATGAGGATGCATTTGGGTGCGTGCACCTGAGTGTGTGTTTGTTAAAGAATGTGTGTGTGTGTGTGTGTGTGTGTGTTTACCCGAGCATATTCAATCTTAAGCGTGCAGCAACCCGAGTAAATGTCAGCTCCGTTCAGAGCCAGCTTGGCCTTCTGAGCGTCTTCCACTGACTCAAACGTTAACGARCTCGTTAAGGATGACTCATCGAAATAACAGGCAGTCAGCCAACCAGGGGAGAGACACACAAACCCACACAAGCCTCAGTGGAGCCTGCTGTCAGCTTTAGGAAATCTAAATATGCTGTTATTCTGCACCTTCATCATCATCTCATTGCATAAAAAGAATGAGAACATGCACCTGAACATGTACAAACCCAAAGGCTCAGTGGCACACACAGTCAGGATATTCCACCATGGCCTGGATGCCGTTCCGTTTGAAGATGACTATCCTCAGAACGTTACCCACGGGGTTACACACAGTGTACAACACATCCTGTAAGAAACAGAAACAACACACAGTCAAASCTGACTGCATCGTTCTCTTTGACGCACTTCTTCTTTCTGGGTCGTCTGTCTCCAGCAGTCACACCTGGACAGGGACACCTGTCCATCACAGGGACACACAGAGACAAACGAGACATTCATGCTGTCACTCACACGTGGGGACAGCGCTAACAGTTGTGCCGTCTAAAGTCCAGGGGTTCTTAACCTTTTTGCAAATGAAAACTAAGCCTTTTTAAACTTTTGCATGGTAGAACCAGAAGCTGCTTTTCATATTAGTGACAGACAATAACAGTAACAGCTTTTTGACAAAATGTTTAAAAATAAACCACAAAGACAAATTTAATGAAGTGCAAATTAAAATACAGTTGTATCTGCAACTGTATTTGATAATGTTTTGAACTTTTAAAATATTGCAT